TCCAAATATGCATCTGTCTATCACTATTTATTGTGATAATAGTGAAGCAGTTGCAAATTCTAAAGAACCAAGAAGTTATTAGCGAGGAAAACATGTTGAGCGCAAATATAAACTCATAAGGGAGATTATGCAACGAGGAGATGTGACCGTCACACAAATAGCTTCAGAGCACAACATTGCTGATCCATTTACGAAGCCCCTCACAGCTAAAGTGTTTGGAGGGCACCTAGTGAGCTAGGACTACAAGTTATGTAATCTAGAGCAAGTGGGAGAAAATGCATGTAGATAAGGAAATCAATTACAAGGGGGGTAAGATTCGGATTACCTTAGGGATCGAATATCTCAAGGAAAAAATATTGTTTGAGATTCGAATCACTCTACAAGCAAGATCGATCATGTCAAGCTTGAATGATTCTTGTTGATCAAATATTTCAACGCAAGAACACTTGATTGAGATTCGAATCACTCCACAAGCAAGGTTGATCATGTTGAGCTTGAATGATTCTACATGTAACCTAAACTACATAGAGTTGCAAATAAACTTAGCCATTGGCTAAAGAAAGCACAAATGCTCCTTTTACTATATTTTCCAAGTCTCCTTACAAATATAACATACATGGCTTTATATAGCCTCAAAATGAAACTATTAAAGGCATTCCGTAACATTCATACTTAATGACAATAATTACCCATTATGTAAATGTAACCTATATAAAGTAAATAAAATGTCTTAAAATACAATAACTCTAAATTACTCTAAATTGTAACCCACCCAAAATTTACAACAATCAAACTTTATTCTTCTTCAATGTAGCATGAATTGAAACATCTTTTGATAATCTTGACAACCTTTCCTTCACATCTTCATTGAAGTATATTGTATGATTGATGTCTCTTGGTTCATATCAGCATGGGTATGTGATGCCCTAGTTTATTTTATTTATGTCTTTCTCTCTACTAAATTGTTATTGAATAAAGTGAATTTTACGATTATTAATCTAAATCCAATAAACTAAGAACACCCTGGCAATAGTATGATTACTTGAACTATATGTAGAGACATAAGAGTGGATCAAGTTCAAGTATATAGTCAAAATTGTCTATAGTACAGGGATAAGGCTGAGTACCTTATTCTGGGTGGGGACACTATGGATGCGGCCCGCTTTTGTATATGATATAAACAATGTGATCACTAAATTGTACATGTGGAGACATGTGAGTGGGGGCGTCCTATGCAATGAGTATTGCATAAGATTGAATCATGAAGAAAATTACTCTCACTTTATAATGTCGTTTACTGTTGAGACTGCCTTTTTCACTCGATAACCTAGGTAACTCGACCTTAGTCATGAGCTAACTATGAACTCCTGTTTATTCAGAATTATCCTTAGATTTGCATGGGTGAGTGTAGCTAGAGTTCGTCGACTTAATAAGTCTCCCATTTCAAGGGTAAGACTGGGTGAATAGCTGGGGACATAGGGTGCAAGATAAAATTCACTCCTACCCACTTGAAGGGACAGTAGAGAGGTTGTTCCCTTAAGTACTGACTTCAAGTCTTAAACAAAGGGCCCCACTCTCTCATTGGCCTGAGAGGAATTCGGTTTGGTGGTTGGACCACAAACCAATTGTTCATTAGAGGATTAGTGGACTTAAGGAACAAGAAGTAACTTTAGGGGTAAAAACGATAAATTGACCCAACTTTGGTTACGATCAACCTGTGAAGGATTGACTTACTAATCATGATTATATCAAATGGACATTACTATATTTATAGTGAGGGGAGTGCAACTATTAGACTATAGTGGAGTGTCCTAGTAGTTAACGAATGTTGGTTAAAAGGATTGACTTACTAATCATGATTATATCAAATGGACGAATGTTGGAGCCCATGATCTGTAGGTCCATTAGGTCCCCTTGCTATCTCATATCGGACTAAACCTTAGAACAGTGTGACGAGTGAGTTTGAAGTGTTCGAACTCAAATTAGGGAATATGCACTAAATATATACGATATATTTAACCGCATTTTGATTTAATTACGAATTAAACAAAATGAGAGAATTTTAGATAGTTAAATTAGATTTAAATATTTTAATTATGAATAAGGATTCATAATCAATATGTGTCGGAATTGATTGAGATGCATTTGATTTAATGTTAAATATTAATTAAATTGTTTAATTAATCATTTAATATTATTTTGATTTGAAATTAATTATTTAAATTAATTGTTAAATTAAAATAAAGAAAGTCAAAATGTTGACTTCGCTTAGTGGAAAAATCCATGATTGAGGTAGTGAAATATTGAGTGTCAATATATGGTTTAACCAAACTTGCATGTTTGCCACATAATCCCACAAATTTGAGTAGAATTGTGAGTATCAGAATTTGGTTTAACCAAACTTGTATGTTTGTCAAAATTTGAGTGTCAAAATTTTGTTAATTCAAATTTGCATGCTTGCCACAATCCCAAATTTGAGTTGAATTTTGATTGTCAAAATTTGGTAATCTCAAATTTGCATGAACATACAAATATCACTCTATAGAGTAATCAAAGTACATGGAAAGTCTTCTTGAAAAACATTGAGAAATTCTCTCCAAACTCTATTTTTACCTATAATAAATTCCTTTCAAATTTAGTCACTCACTAGTTTCCACAATCTCGTTCTAAGGTCAGAGAATAGTAGGGAAGACACTAGCGGTGGTTCGAAACTGGTTCGTGAGGAAAAAGGAATTTAACCTACAAAAGGTTAGTATTCAAACTCATTGAGTTTTAATGTTTTTGAACATGCTAGCTAATTTATTATAATTGATGTACTTAGAGTGGCTAAGATCCAAATTGCTTCCGCATGTATTATAACAACACCATTGTATCGATGCTTGTCGAGTCGCGCTCTGTCCCTTGTCGAGTCGTACTCCGCGGCGCGCCGCCCTTTTTTTTCTTTTTCTTTTTCTTTTTCTTTTCTCTCTCCTGCAATCCTCCACCCTTTTCCGATCCACCGTTTTCTGGTTTTCATATCTTTTGATTCGGAGCTCGGATTTGTTGGTGTTAATATAACACATGCGGAAGCAATTTGGATCTTAGGCACTTTTAGAACATTAATTATAGTAAATAACTAGCATGTTCATAAGTATTAAAACTTAATGAGTTTAAATACTAAGCTTTTGTAGTTCAAACTCCTTTTTCCTCACGAACCGGTTTCGAACCACCACTAGTGTCTTCTCCACTATCCTCCGGCCTTAGAACGGGATTGTGGAATCCGGTGAGTGACTAAACTTGGGAGGGATTTTGTATATGTGAAGAGAGTGTTTGTGAGAGGTTTTTCTCAAGGTTTTTCCCCAAGAAGAAGAAGACCTTCCATGTACCATGATCACTTTATTTAAAGAGTCATGTTTGCATGTTTATGCAAATTTGAGATCACCAAATTTTGACACTTAAAATTCCACTCAAATGTTTGGGATTACGTGGCAAGCATGCATGTTTGAGTTAACTAAATTTTGAAACTCAAAATTCCACTCAAACTTGTGGGGTTTATTTGGCAAGCATGCAAGTTTGGTTAAATCAAATTTTGGCACTTCAAAATTCAACATTTTGACTTTCTTCATTTTAATTCAACAATTAATTTGAATAATGAATTTCAAATTAAAGTAACATTAAATGATTAATTAAACTATTTAATTAATATTTAATATTAATTCAAATGCCAATCTCAATCAATTCCGACACATAATTGATTAAGATATTTAAATCTTATTTAAATATCTCAGATTCTCTCTTTTTGTTTAATTCGTAAATAAAACAAAAATGCGGTTAAATATATCGTATATATGTAACGCATATTCCTAATTTGAATTCGAACTCACTCGTCACGCTATTCTATGGTTTAGTCCGACATGAGCTAGCAGAGGGACCTAATGGACCTATAGATCATGGGCTCCAACGATCCAAGATTAACCGGCTAAACTCATTAACCTTGTTAACCAACATTTGTTAACTACTAGGACACTCCACTATAGCCTAGTAGTTGCACTCCCCTCACTATAGATATATTTCTGTCCATTTCATATAACCATGATTAATAAGTCGATCCTTCACAGGTTGTTCGTAACTAGAGTTGGGTCAATTTACCGTTTTACCCCTAAAGTTACTTCTTGTTCCTTATGTCTCACTGATCCTCTAATGAACAATTGGTTTGTGGTCCAACCAGTAAACCGAATCCCTCTCAAGCTAATGAGAGGGTGGGGCCCCTTATTCAAAACCTGGAGTCAGTGCTTAATGGAATTACCTCTCTTCTATCCCTAAAAGTGGGTAGGAGCGAATTCCGTCTTGCACCCCACGTCCCCAGCCATTCACCCAGTCTTACCCCTGAAATGGGAAGCCTATTGAGTCGGCGAACTAGAGCCACTCTCACCCATGCAAATCTAAGGATAATTCCGAATAAATAGGAGTTCATGGTTAGCTCAGGATTAAAACCGAGTTACGTAGGTTATGAATGGAAAGAAAATTAGTCTCAACAGTAAACGACATTATAAAGTGAGAGTTGTTTTCTTCATGATTCAATCTTATGCAATACTCATTGCATAGGACGCCCCCACTCACATGTCTCCACATGTACAATTTAGTGATCACATTGTTTATTTCATATACAAAAGTGGGCCGCATCCATAGTGTCCCCAGAATAAGGTACTCAGCCTTATCCTTATACTATAGATCACATTTTGACTATATACTTGAACTTGATCCACTCTTATGTCTCTACATATAGTTCAAGTAATCATACTATAGGCAGAGTGTTCTTAGTTTATTGGATTTAGATTAATGATCGTAAAGTTCACTTTATTCAATAACAATCTTTATTGAATAAACAACAATAATAACTTTATTGAAAATAGAATATGTTTTTTGTTTACAAACTATGAGTTTTAGGACATAAAACCCAACAGGATTGATATGGTTCTTCCGGTAAAGTTCTAGATTGTGTTGAGGGCTACGTCTTGATGTTTTTTCGTGATTTTAGCCTCAACATAGAACGAGATTTGAGCCACAGAAGTTCGCTTACCGTCTCGGACGATTCTCGATTTTCTACCAAGTTTCTTCACGAAGTCAGCTTCCCTAGATGAACGTATTCAAACATTAGGTTCCGATTGTAAAGGTTAGTCTCAGATTTGGGAAACATTCAAGAACTCACCTCGATTCTAGACGAAGTCTCGATGACGGCTCCTCGATTTCCCAAACCCTCTCCCAGTCTTCCCTTTTTTTTTTTTTTTTTTGGCCTCTAGGGTTCCACTTGGACCCCTATATGGAGGGGCAAAATGATACATTTGCCCCTCCATGGGCTTGAGCCGATTTATTTATTTTATTTCAGCATTACACCACCACATCTAGATTTGAAACCACTACCTCCAAACGTTAAATATGTGTATTTAGGTGACAAGGAGACACTACCCATCATCATCTCAGCAACATTATCCTTGACCTAAGAGGATATGCTCCTAGGAACGTTAAAGAAGCACAAGGGGACAATAGGTTGGACATTGATGGATATAAAAGGAATTATTCCTTCATTATGTATGCACAAGATTCAATTGGAGGGAGGACAATTTAAATCCATTGATCAACAAAGACAATTAAATCAAATGATGAAAGAGGTTGTTATTACAAGAGATTATTAAGTTGTTAGATGTTGGAATAATACATCCAATTGCACTTCGTCTAGAAGATCAAGAGAAGACCACACTTACATGCCCATATGAAATTTTGGCCTTTAGAAGGATGCCTTTTGGACTATGTAATACTCCAGGAAAATTTCAACGATGTATGATAACCATCTTTATAGGCATGGTAGGAACATTCATGGAGATATTCATGGATGACTTCTCGATTTCTGGAGAATCTTTTGAAACTAGTTTGGGAAATTTGGAGAAGGTTCTGCAAAAGTGTGAAGAGAAGAATTTTGTATTCAATTGAAAAAAAAGTGTCATTTCATGGTAGGATAGTGCGAGGCCACAAGATCTCAAAAAGAGGAATAGAAACCGATGGAGCTAAGATTGAAGTTATTGAAAAACTTAATCCACCTACCTCTGTGAAATGAGTAAGAAGTTTCTTAAGCCATACACGGCTCTGGAGGAGGTTTATTAAAGACTTCTCAAAAATTGAAAAATCGTATTGTTGTTTGTTTGAGGCAAATAGACAATTTTTTGTTTTTTTTTTATTATAAATAATGCCTGACAACTTTTCAAGCAAGGATCACAGCTCCTCTATTGTAATATCAAATCCTTATTGGGATTCACTATTTGAATTGATATGTGAAGATTCACTATTTGAATTGATATGGGAAGACAAGGTACTTCATCCTATCTATTATGAGAAAAAAGTTGGGATGTGACTGAGTGAATTGTACAACAACTGAAAAAGAGTTTAGCTATATATTTGTTGTTGAGAAAGTCAGACCTCCCTCTTTCTTACTAATAATAGAACAATTATGCACACCTAAACTACATAAAACTTTATGCCTAGCTGTAAGGTTTAGCTCTCATACATGCTGAATTAAAGAGAACCCACATTATAATCATGTAAAATTGATAAAATAAGAAAAGAGGGTAAGGAATCATAGAGTTATCAAACTTTATTGTTGTCCTTCAATGGAAGTTTCTTTCCTTTGAGTTCTCATGTCCACCTCTTTACCCTAATCTATCCTTCTTGGTTTTCTTTTCCTTCGGTTGTCAATCGCTGTTCTATTAGGGTTCTTCTTCTTCTTTCTCTTTGGTTTCATAGCAGCAAAACCCTCTGTTGTCTATTCCATGTTTTCTATTTAGTGGCCCTCCTCCTTTTTCACGTCATCTTTTCCTTTTATATTATTTGTTTCTTCCCATTTAGAGATGAGAAAGGATAAGTTGTCTACCTAGAATGTTCTTAATTGAGTAGTCAATGCCCCACAGGGTGGATTAAAATTTTCATGTCATGCTCAAAAAGTTTGATTTTTGAATTACTTGAGCATCAGCATCAAGGTCAACAATTTGTTTCTAGATTTGCCAGTATGGTTGTTTCCAGATTTGCTACAACATCATGGTTAAATGTTCCAGAATTTTACCAAATAACTCAATTAAGTGTACAATTAGGCTCGATCCATGCAAATTGATATTCTTTTCATGTTGAACTGCAATTAACTATTTCATGCTTATTAATTACAACTAATGGAGCAAATAATAAGAAATTGTTTTGTATGAGTGCATAATTACAAGCAAAAAAGACCTGATATAACTCTAGTTTTGGGGATTCTTAACATTTTTTTTTACCCTACATAGGAAGAAAGAAACCATATAAAAGTCAGAGAATTTACTTAAATATGAGAGCAACCAAAGGAGAAAAACGGAAAAGACACAGTTATGCTGCTATAAAAATAAGAGAAATGAGGAAGAAGAATCATAATTCAGTAGGTGCTGATAGTAGAAGAAAAAGAATATCAAGAAGGATAGATTAAGACGAAGAGGTGGATGGGCGAGCTCAAAGGAGGGTAATTTAAGTGAAGAAGAACAACAAAGTTTTCGTAAGTCTCTAATCATTTACTCTCTTTTCTTATTCTATGAATTTTACATGATTCATTTATTTAAATAAGTTTATATGGAGAGCTAAACCTTATAAAGGAAGCGGGAGAGTTTTATGTAATTTAAGTATGCTAACAGTGTAATTTTTAGTTTGTTAAAAAGTTGCCATTAGTGATTTACAAATTTGTTTAGTTGGCCACTTTAGATACATGGTTCTTCTCTTATTCGAAAGAAGGGAGCAAGAAATTCTTTTTAATACTCTAGTTTCATTGCATGGATATTTGAAGGTAATTGAAGGGTTTGAAATAATTCTTGTGAATAGAAATTACAAAACGATTATGAAAGTAATCATCATGCATGACCCTCAAAAGAGATAAAATCCACTATAAATTTCAACCACTTATCTATTTAAACTCTCCTAGCCAACCTTCCTCATTATATTTTCTCATTGCTCTCTGTTTTTCTACCGTAATTGACACTCTGCATAAATTTTGTTTAAATAGTTTAAGCTCATCAACGCACATTTGAATGATACTAAAAAATCACTTAATTTTCAATAACAAAAGTAACTAAACAAAATAGGTTCTATATGTAATCGATAATTTACTTATTACTTGCTATTTGTGATAGTGGATACTTGCATGTTCTCCCTTAAATCGGATGTACAAATCGCCATAGGCCCTTAGATGTCCTCTTAATAAAATGAAAGATCTTCTTTTATTGTATCAATTAGTTCTAACGTGAACTTTGCATACTCTTCCAATGTCTTACTTCCATGTTTGAGGCTTAGGAACTCCTCCTAGATTTGGTGCATGGCACAAAAAAATGTGCATATGCACTCCGAAGACCATATCTCATTCGTTTCTGATTTGTTTTGAACAAATAACCCCTCTTTTACATACGTTTTTTCATGATCTATAAACCTATGTTCATAAAAAGAGTAAAAATTTTGAAAATCTGGACCTTTATATCTTCCAAAAATTACTTCCAACTATGTTAAAACTTTGAGAGACCATAACTTTGAGCTCCGTTGATCAAATTTGATGAATTTTTTTTTGATTCCATGTAACTTTTCGAGGACTTCCCAAGTGGTCACCCAACTTAGTACTACTCTCGCCCAAGCACGCTTGACTGCGGAGTTTTGATGGGATCCGGTGCATTAGTGCTGGTATGATCGCACTCAACATGCCGTGTGCACAAATTGCATTTAACGCATGCGGGGCGGCATGATCGAGGCGACGGTGGGTGCACGCACGTGCTTGGAACGGCCCGCGCGAACACGTCGGGGAGAAGAAACGCGATGGGCGCGGGCGGGGGAGGTTGCCATTTGCAAAGAAAGGAAGGAAAGAACGGGGGGAAATTGAAAGAACGTGCAAAAGAAATAAAAAAGGGGTGCAACACGAGGACTTCCCAAGCACGCTTGACTGCGGAGTTCTGATGGGATCCGGTGCATTAGTGCTGGTATGATCACACTCGACATGCCGTGCGCACAAATTGCATTTAACGCATGCGAGGCGGCATGATCGAGGCGACGGTGGGTGCACGCACGTGCTCGGAACGGCCCGCGCGGACACGTCGGGGAGAAGAAACGCGATGGGCGCGGGCGGGGGAGATTGCCATTTGCAAAGAAAGGAAGGAAAGAACAGGGAGAAATTGAAAGAACGTGCAAAAGAAATAAAAAAGGGGTGCAACACGAGGACTTCCCAAGTGGTCACCCAACTTAGTACTACTCTCGCCCAAGCACGCTTGACTGCGGAGTTCTGATGGGATCCGGTGCATTAGTGCTGGTATGATCGCACCCGACATGTCGTGCGCACAAATTGCATTTAACGCATGCGAGGAGGCATGATCGAGGCGACGGTGGGTGCACGCACGTGCTCGGAACGGCCCGCGCGGACACGTCGGGGAGAAGAAACGTGATGGGCGCGGGCGGGGGAGGTTGCCATTTGCAAAGAAAGGAAGGAAAGAACAGGGAGAAATTGAAAGAACGTGCAAAAGAAATAAAAAAGGGGTGCAACACGAGGACTTCCCAAGTGGTCACCCAACTTAGTACTACTCTCGCCCAAGCACGCTTGACTGCGGAGTTCTGATGGGATCCGGTGCATTAGTGCTGGTATGATCGCACCCGACATGCCGTGCGCACAAATTGCATTTAACGCATGCGGGGCGGCATGATCGAGGCGACGGTGGGTGCACGCACGTGCTCGGAACGTCCCGCGCGGACACGTCGGGGAGAAGAAACGCGATGGGCGCGGGCGGGGGAGGTTGCCTTTTGCAAAGAAAGGAAGAAAAGAACGGGGGGAAATCGAAAGATCGTGCAAAAGAAATAAAAAAAGGGATGCAACATGAGGACTTCCCAAGTGGTCACCCAACTTAGTACTAGTCTTGCCCGCTTAACTGCGGAGTTCTAATGGGATCCAGTGCATTAGTGCTGGTATGATTGTACCCGACATGTCATGCGCACAAATTGTATTTAACGCATGCGGGGCGGCATGATCGAGGCGACGGTGGGTGCACGCACGTGCTCGGAACGGCCCGCACGGACACGTCGGGGAGAAGAAACGCGATGGGCGCGGGAGGGGGAGGTTTCCATTTGCAAAGAAAGGAATGAAAGAACGGGGGGAAATTGAAAGAACGTGCAAAAGAAATAAAAAAGGGGTGCAACACGAGGACTTCCCAAGTGGTCACCCAACTTAGTTCTACTCTCGCCCAAGCACGTTTGACTGCTGAGTTCTGATGGGATCCGGTGCATTAGTGCTGGTATGATCGCACCCGACATGCCGTGCACACAAATTGCATTTAACGCATGCGGGGCGGCATGATCGAGGCGACGGTGGGTGCACGCACGTGCTTGAAACGGCTCGCGCGGACACGTCGGGGAGAAGAAACGCGATGGGAGCGGGTGGGGGAGGTTGCCATTTGCAAAGAAAGGAAGGAAAGAACGGGGGGAAATTGAAAGAACGTGCAAAAGAAATAAAAAAGGGGTGCAACACGAGGACTTCTCAAGTGGTCACCCAACTTAGTACTACTCTCACCCAAGCACGTTCAACTACGGAGTTCTGATGGGTTCCAGTGCATTAGTGCTAGTATGATCGCACATGACATGCCCTGCGCACAAATTGTATTAACGCATGCGGGGCGACATGATTGAGGCGACGGTTGGTGCACGCACCTACTCGTAACGGCCCGCGCGGACACGTCGAGGAGAAGAAACGCGATGGGTGCGAGCGGGGGAGGTTGCCATTTGCAAAGAAAGGAAGGAAAGAACGGGGAGAAATTGAAATAACGAACAAAAGAAATAAAAAATTGGTGCAACATGAGGACTTCCCAAGTGTTCACCCGAAATAACTAGCAAAAGAAATAAAAAAAGGGGTGCAACACGAGGACTTCCCAAGTGGTCACTTAACTTAGTACTACTGTCGCTCAAGCACGCTTAACTGCGGAGTTCTGATGAGATTCGGTGCATTAGTGTTGGTATGATCGCACCCGACATGCCGTGCGCACAAATTGCATTTAACACATGTGATACGACATGATCGAGGCAACAGTGGGTGCACGCATGTGCTCGGAACGTTCGGTGGAGCCCTCCCAGACACGTCGAAGAGAAGAAACGCGATGAGCGTGAGCATGCGAGCGGGTGCTTTTGCCATTTGTAAAGAATGGAAGAAAAGAACGGGGTGAAATTGAAATAACGAATATTAAAATTAAAAAAAATTAAAAATAGATGCAACACAAGGACTTCCGAATTGGTTACCCTACGTTGTACCATTGTCCCTCAAACACTCTTAACTACGGAGTTTTGATACCCAATATGGAATGTGCTGAAATTGCATTTAACGCATATGGAGCGTCATAATCGAGTTGGCGATGGGTGCACACACGTGCTCGTAATGGCCGGCATGTTCTGCACAGACATGTTGAGGAGAAGAAATGCGATGGACGTGAGGGTACAAGCGAAGATGGTTGCGGTAAAGAAATGAAGAAAAGAGTGTGTCATAGATAGTTTGAGTTTGTTTGTTTCCTTCTATTGTTGATTAAGGAAAAAATGTCTTTCAATAGAGTTTTATTTTATATTAAAAATATAAACAAAAGAACAAATTAGTAAAACTTGCCATATCTGACGATAATTTTAAAAAACGTTAAGAAGACGAATGGCTGGGGTTTGAGTGTCACGCGAGGGGAGAGAAGATGCATATCATCCATTGAAGAAGACACGCATTATGCAACGGGGGTCAGGAGCACGTTCGGCTGAGTGTTAACATGTGTTGATCGGAGAGTGGAGCAACGTGTCTAACGATGAGTAGAGACATGCATTGCAAGGTCAGATCTGACTCGATTGATCAATTTTACCCTGCGTGACTTTGGAATCGTGCATCTAATCCAAAAAACCAACCCAACTCGACACATATCGCCATTCAACATGGACCTTGTGTCACTCTATGAGAACTTATGCTCCTCCTTTAACTGTCTTTGTACGGGCGTGGGGGACTCCCTCCCAAGCACGTGGAAGCACATGAACACACATGGTGAGCTCCCCATTTGACCACCATTCAATTATTTTTAATCCCCATTTTTTATACTAATCCTATTACACCTTGATATAGGCCGACCACAAATTTTGAAAATTTTAAAACCCATAACACACAGAAAAGTTAGTTCGGAAAGGATGCGATATCCAAATAAGTAGTCGTTTGGACTTTCCTTAAATAACACTTAATCGATGTGCTAGCATGCGAGCATTTATTACCTTAAATTATTAAATTATGCATTTTTAGGACCTCAAAAGGACATTTTTCTTATGAGTAAGCAATATATTTATAGAAAATTACCGAAATGCCCTTAGGATAAGATTATGAGATGCATGATTATTTTTATGCTATCCACCGAGCTAGGTAGGGAATATGCATATTTATAACTCAAGTAGAAAAATTTGGTCGAGTAAGTTGTGCATGATGTGGATAATTACTAAAATGCCCATAAGTCGAGATCTTGAGTCATATGTTATTTTATGTGCTCATTGTGGAGCTACAATGCACGATGATTATTGTTATTTGTGCTCTAAGTGATTAATGATGTTATCTCCTCATTGAGCTTTCATATTTAGCTTCAGGTGATTGATTGTGTGTTCTCCCTATAGAGTGTGTTTATCTGCACAGAGCTAGAACTAGGGCTCTAGAGTTAGGTTGGCTAGAAGATGACCTAGGTTAGGACACCTCCAATAGATTGAGCACTTTAGGATCGTAAGTAGCGGCCAAAGGGTCTAAACCCTAGTACTCCTAGACTAAGAAAGACTCGAGGAGTCAGATTCAGGTACCTTAGAGTCCAAAGTTTGCGTTAAGCCACCCACCCACCCACCCACCTTTGGAATCCAATAGACCTCCTCATTACTGAGAGATGATTAAGGTGATGATTAGAATTTATGTCTCGTGCTTTAGGTAATCGATAGGAATATCTTCTTAACAAGCATGCATGAGCCAACCAAGTTAGGTTTAGGGTGCTGTAGCTCGAGCAATTTACATGTAGACCTAGGTCAGTAAGTTTCTAGTAGACCTTGCACCCCAAGATCGTGAGCAACGATCAAGGGTCTACACCTGTGTGCACCCAGAAAATGGATTAGTGCGAGGAATTGGCCCTAAACATCCTTGAAACAAAAGATGAATTTAAATCGTCTAGACGCCCTTAAGGACTTAGTAGACCTCTACGACATCCAAGAGGACAAAAGTAGCTCTCTTAGTCATTAGCAGTATGTACGGTGTCATCAGACCCTCTATTAATAGATCTCCACAGTGTTAGATGTCTAATGGTGCCATCAGAATCTCCGATACAATTTTCACTCTTATACTAATACTACCAAGCTAGGCCTAGACCGGTTAGGGTAGTGCACAAGGTGACTTCGCCCAACCTTGTGGAAGTGACAAAGCAGTAAACTCGCCTTGAGAGGGGGGTGGAAACACACAGGTTGACTCAGTAGTTGGCCGGGTGTCGCACCCCCAAACTAGGGTGGCTTTATGATTTTGTGGAAAGTTCACCGGCAAATCATCCATCATCCATGGATGATATGTAGGCTAGCTAGCAATCACCTTAGTGTCCTACTAGAACTTTATGAGGTAGCGCCTCAACTTAGGACGTCAATCTTTCATCGCGTAGGTAGAGCACGCTAGCTAAATCAAAGAACAGAACAGTGGTAGAACTTGCATATATCCCTAGGGGGTAAGATCCAAAATTCCTAGATCCCATAGTAAAACTTATGGATGCCTACTAGGTTAAGGATGTTAAAAGAGCCTACAAGTAGATTGTTTATCGAGTATTTAAACTCACCTCTTTCACTTTTTCTTTTTTGTCCATAAGTTCTCATACCATCAGACAAGGTGGGAGATTCTTGAAGAGCTGCGTAATTACAGAGGGGATGCGTAATTACTAGAGAGTTAACATCAATATAACACCTCCATCTCCATCACATAGTAGTAGCCATTTAAACTCACTTAAAACCTGAGAAATTGATACAATTCTATAAAAATGGGGATTCGATATCTATCCTTTGCTACTTGCATATATCTTTTTGAATTATATGTGATTATATGACACTCTTACAACAATAATCCTCCATTTTAAGGTTGGATATATCCACATTGACTGTCATTACTATTTCAACATACTCTTATTCATTACATATATGCGCTTGAGTAGTGATTAATGTCTTTAATATTTTTGGCTTACATAAAACATGTCAGCCAGGTAGAATACCGGGATCATCAACAATGAGAGATGCGCCATTATCAGCATTGGTAAGATTCAGAATCATTGGAGCGGCCTTCAAAGCCCTAGCACAATTTAACAAATAAATAAATAAATCACGGTAAGAATTGTTAGGAATCACGACTCTTCATAATGATGTGATATTGTCCATTGGAGCATAATCTCTCATGCTATGGACTTTCCCAAAATAGCTCATACCAATGGAGATGTATTCATTTATTTATAAACTTATGATCATTCCTTAAATTAGCCCACGTGTACTCACTCCCAATAATTCTCGACGGAATTACTATGCTCTGCATACTGATTAATTGAAATTAAGAGTCACCTGTGTTCTAAAATTTTCCATATTTGTTATTAGTTTTGTAATACTCTTATCTAAAAATATATATATACATACATGTTTATAATCTTATAATCTTACCATTCTTCGGGAGATTGGTATTGAGAAGCTAAATCGCCAAAGCGGAACGCAAGCATCTCTGTATTTATAATACCAGGATCTAATGCCACAATCGCCATTCCATCGGGTACCTCTTTTGCAACTGATTTGCTTAACCCCTCAATCGCCCATTTTGACGCACTATATGCGGAAGCCTAAGTAATAATCATTCAATATTAATCTATGATTTCGAAAGCTTAAAACTCCATTTTTGATATAATTTTGAAGCTTTCCATTTAGGATGATATGCATACATACCAAGGCAGCTCCTGTTCTTCCATAGATGGAAGATAGATTAACAATGACACCTTGGTTCTTAGGAATCATTAGAGGAAGGAAGTGACGCAACACATTCGTGGTTCCCTTTATATTAACATCAATAACGTAATCAAACTCTTGTTCAGGAACCTCCCACATCTTTAAATGGTCATGGTACACAGCTGCATTATTTACTGTGGATAACCAAATTTCAGTACACATCAATTAACAGGAATTACAAAAGAACCATAACATGAGCATACCAATTATATCAGGCGCGCCAATCTTTTTCATGATTGTGTGTGCCATGTCTTTGACGCAGCTACTTGATTTCTGCAAAACCCAATTTCGAAATTAATGTTTAAATAGAAAGCGTTGGTGAAGAAAAATGTGATTACAAACCACGTCGATGTTAAAGAGCAAATTGTTGCAGGGGGAAGCCTGGAGGAGCTCTGTGTGAAGCGAATCCAATTTGTTTTTATTGCGAGCGCAACCAGCAATGATGTGACCACGCTTTGCCAACTCTAACGCTAAAGCTCTTCCTAGTCCTTGGCTCACTCCAGTAATGAGGATCGTCTTGTGGGGATCATTTGAACTTGCCAACGCCATTAAGTTGCAATAAAAACAGCTGCTGCTTGCTTTGAAAATGGTAGAGATAGATGCAGAAATAGAATTTTTTGAAGAAAAGAAAACATCGTGCATCTATTTAATCGGTGTCTCTTAGAGTGGCGGCAATTTCGAAGTTAATACTACTTTTTCATTAAAGATAAACTTATTTTCAAATGCTATGAACCACACATTTTCAACATGAATCCAAGTTAAATAAATGAATACTCATATCTCAATAATTTTGAACATTTTCAAACAAACTTTTCAAAACACAATGATTGAAACGACTTATAGGTCCTTTTCAAACAAACTTTTCAAAACACAATGATTGAAACGACTTACAGGTCCATGTGAGGTGGGAATAAAATGGAATGAGAATATTGGTGAATTTGTACCAGAATGAACTAAGATTTTGTTCACTTTTTTTAAATTTGTTAATTGATAAAATAAATATTTTATTGCAATTTTAATTTTCAATGCTATATATATATATTTTGTTTTAATCTCAAATTAGTTAATTAGTTCATATTATTAGCATCGTGTGATAATAATTTCTAAAGCTTTGAAGTTTTGATATATAAAATTTAGAATAAGGATTTCAACGTCTTTTAATCACTCAAATCAAAACAAACAAATAATATGGGGTATAGGTGCGCTTTGGGATGTTTTAAAATAAAAGATAATTAATTAATTATTATTATTATTAAAAAGAAAACATGACCGTTCTGAATTGTGACAGTATTCGGAAAAAGAAAACAAAATTTGAAAACCTCATTTCCGTTACTCACATATAATTTTTATATTATTATATTATTATTTTAATTTAATATTTTAATACTTTAATAATTTAAAATTGCTCTATTTATTAATAAACATAAAATACTTCATTATGGTTCAACAGAAAAAAAAAAATATCAATTTGCATGAATCGGGCCTATTTATACATTTATTTGAGCTATTTGATAAAATTCTAGAACATTTATTTTGAACCATGAGACGGTTACAAATCTGGAAACAACCCTTATGTCAAATCTGGAAACAAATTGATGATTCTGATGCTAAACTTTTCGAGGATGACATGAAAATTTTAATCCATATTAACAATCCACGTGGGTCATTAACTACCTAATTAGGAGCATCCTACGAGAACAAATTATCCTTTCTCAATCCTAAATGGGAAGGAACACACGATAGAAAAGGAAAAGGTGACGTAAAAAGAGGAGAGAGCCACATTTGGGAAGAAAAATTGAAATAGACATAGGAGGGCTCTACTGCTGTGAAACCAGAGAGGAAGAAGGAGAAAAATTCTACTCCAGCAGTTGTTGATAGCAGAAGGAAAAGAAGACCAAGAATGATAGATTAGGGCGAAGAGGTGGATGTGAGAACTAAGGTAAGAGAACTTCCATCGAAGAAGAACAACAAGTTCCTTACTTTCTTTTCTTATTCTATCCGTTTAATATGATTGAGATGTGAGTTCCTCTATTTAATTCAGTTTTGAGGGAGAGCTAAACTTTATAAGAGAGACGAGAGAATTTTATGTAGTTTAAGTATGTTGATAGTGTAATTTTAGTTTATTAAAGAATTGTGGTTAATGATTTATATGTTTGTTTAATTAGCTACTTTACATCCATGGTTGTTCTATTATTTGAAAGAAAAAGAAGGTACTAACAAAATTTCTCTTTAAATACTCTAGTTCCATTGCAAGGATAGAAGGGTTAGAAATAATTTTTTTAGTAGAACATTGTTAATAAAAATTAAAAAAGAATTATGAAAGTAATCGCTCTGCATTACCCTAATAAATAAGTGGACTTAGAAATCTATTAAAAAAACTAAAATCTGACACAAAACTCAACAACTTATCTATTTAGTTTCTCTTAGCCGAACCTTCTTCACTATTGTTGATTTTCTCGTTATTTTCTATTTTTCGACAACAGTGCACTATGCAGAATTTTGTTTAATTAGTTTGCAATCATCAACACCCATTTAGATAATACCAAAACTCAATTAGTTTCTAGCAATAGAAGTAACCAAAAGGATAGGTTTGATGTGAAATCAATAATTTACTTGTTACTTGCATTTTATTATTATATACATCCACCCATTTTACATCATTTTATTATATACATCCACATCAGATTAGCGACATAGTCTGAACTCACATCTAGGGCTTCATGCGTTCCTTGTGACACAGTCTGAAAACCTATGCTCAAGCGTTCTAAGTGGCATAGTCTAAATACCTAAGCTCAAGGCTTCTTACGCTCCAAGCAGCGTAATCTGAAAACCTACATCCAAAACTTCTTATATTCCAAGTGATATAGTCTGATCCTGCATCCAGGATTTCATGTGTTCCCTGCGATACAGTCTGGTTACCTATGCCCAAGACTTTACAGTTCCAAGTGACATTCGGAATGCCTACGCTCAGGGCTTCGTATGTTCCAAGCAGTATAATCTAAAAACAAACATCCAAAGCTTCTTACGTTCCAACCGATGTAGTCCAAGTAATGAACATGCTCTGTGAGAGGTCTTAGAAGTTTCTTAAGTTTCTGAATTTGAGGACCTTGGTCCTTTATCCTTGAGTGGTACTTAGCATTCTATTTATCTTGAAAGTTTTAGAGCTTGCTTAGTATTTTTCTTGGTTCTCAACCCTAAACACTTCATAAGTTCTAAGGTTTGTAATTTTTCGAAGCATAAGTCGTATCATGCATTCTTAAGTTCTACATAACTTAGAACATGCATGAGTCATTCAAAATGCCATGAAGTCATAATATATTTTTTAGACAATTCTAGAAGAGTCTTGGTTCTTCGGTAAGAGTTACTTGAGGTATTTTCTCGAGCAACGGACCATTACATAGTGACGTGAACAAAAATAATAAAAATGCGTAAAATTTAAAACATTTAAACACAAGCATGCAATTTGAAATTCAATTAAAAATAATCATGAAAATTTTACTTTTATAGAGAGACAAGAAGAGATCACTAAAATACATCAGTACCACATGAAACGATTTAAAATACATGAAATGTAGGATTTAAAGGTAAGGTACAAAGAGGACTACAGACTCAAATGTGGTGGGACTCTCTATAACCAACCACCCATGTGTGCCTCCATCTCGACCGCTACGTCAAACTTCACCGGCAAAGAAAGTTGAAGTAGTAGGAATGAGTATATAAAATATACTCAATAAGCAGCTTGCTGGTAGTTCATATTTCGTTGTTAAGTCCTATTGGTCTTGTTCATCGTTCGATATCTTATTCTCTTTTGGAAATTTGTTCTCCTCATGTAGGCTTTTTCTAGGCCCTAGGTTTTCTCATTCTACTTTCTCTTGGTTCTTTGTCTTATCTGAATCTCTAGCCCTCGGAATATTCTTAAGTCCTCTAGGTCTCCTAGTTAGTCGTTTCTGCTAGTCCCTCATCATCATCATCATATCTCAAAGCCCTCAAGGCACGACCTCGGTACTCAGGGTTCATGCATTCTAGGAATCAACCAACTCTCAAGTGTACTACTATAGACCCCGGCCACTCGTGACATGTTCACTTAAAGGAAACTAACTGGCAAACTTCCTACAAGTCCTGCAAAGTACCATCAATAATAAAATGGTCAGTTTTATAGTTATTCGAACACCTGATAATCGAATCAGGTTTATGATTAGAGGTTAGTTGGTGAACTCCTATCGTTCCCGGATAACTGCTAACTCATATGCATGAACAATAAATCTCAACTAACTCTAATGTACCAACGTAGACCCCTGTCACTCGTGATAGGTTCACTAATAGAAAATTAACTGGCAAACTTCCGGTAAGTTCCCACAAGGTACCATCAACAATAAAATCATCAACAATAAAATGGTCAGTTCTATAATTACACAGACCCCTAACAATAGAGTCAAGTTTACGATTAGGGGTTAGTTGGCGAACCCCTAATCGTCCCCGGATAACCGCTATCTCATATGCAAGAGCAATAAATCTCGACCAACTCTAATGTACCAACGTGGACCCCTGTCACTCGTGACAGGTTCACTAATAGAAAATTAATTGACGAACTTTCTATAAGTCCCCACAAGGTACCATCAACAATAAAATGGTCAATTGTATAGTTGCACAGACCCCTAACAATCGAGTCAGGTTTACGATTAAGGGTTAGTTGGCAAACCCCTAATTGTCCCCGAATAACTGCTAATACTGTAACATATGTGACGGAGGCATAACATAATGATCTAATCATGAGAAAGCTAGTCATGAATCTCGGTTCATAAGGTAGTGCACGCGTTGCAGTAAACATACATAATCACATTCAACATGTGTTAATGCTCAAACTTCTAAAACATAGTTCTCATATCATACTTTCATGCATACTATGAGCATAGCTAAATCCAAGGTTCCGAGGTGCCACTTACCTAAAAAGCGTGACACTTTTTGTTCAGATTTACGTCTTTAGAGGGTTCCAAAATTTGCCAAACTCCTCAGATAAGTCCTACATTGGTGCAAAATGAGAAATACCATGAAAACGGAGTTTCTAGCCGATGTGGACTTGCAACGAGTTCTTCCAACGATGGTCTCCAAGAGTTCGTGAGCTCTTCCTCCATTTTTGACGTCTCTCAAACCCTCTTCTTCTGCTCTCCAAAGGCCATCGAAAATGGGCTACTCCCGCTGTCTTTTGCTACCTGCAGTTTTCGACGGTGGCAGGGTACAATCTCACGTGCCACACGCTTTTTATTTATTTATTATTATTTTATCCGGTGGGTATTACACGTTACATATATTCTTTCAAACTAAACAACAATATATACTCATGTCTCATTCATTAACTATGTTCAAATTGAATATAATATTGATGTTATATTTGCAATTAATTGGACTGATTTTGGCAAAGTTCTCATGGTTTTAAATTGAAAGAAATTATGGAAAATTATACTGAAATGACAATTTTGAAATAATTAAACATCGTGGAGTAGAATTGAAAATCACTAAATAAAATAAAATGGTATGTGTGGTAAATTCTGTATTTTTTTAAACCCTTTACTTTTACATTCACCTGGTCCTGCCGTAAGCCTATAGCCCAAAACATGTCCATCCAGTTTTTCAACAATGCCCAGCCCAATTTTTCCTTGCCAGCCCAGTTTATTGGCCCAGAAACTTTGCCCTAAATTCAGTCCCCTTCCTCTCTCTCTCTCTCGAACAACCAATATTATTCTCCTACTCAGGCTTTCATATAACGTATTACCGCCATTTGAACAATCTCTTGTTCGCCTCTGCAGACGCTCTAGCTCTTTCCAACTTCGTTTTGAGGATATGGTCAGTTGATCTCTTTATCAACTCTTTTCTTTTCTCCTTTGGTTGATGTCTCCATTGACGTTCTCCTTTAAGATGTTCTATATTGTTGTTTCCATCTTCATTTGGATTTTTTTTCTTCTGTAATATGAGATTTGTGAGACTGCTGATTTGTTAGTTCTGGACTTTTGAAGTGTCTCGATATAAGAGTGATGCTTATTGTGAGGTACCCTGTGAAATGGCCACAGCAAAGGCCTCGGCTAATAGGAATTATGTGTCCTAGAGAGTGGTTGAGTTTGGTTCTCGAACCGTCCATCATAAAATTTAATCGTGTTGTGTCAAAGGCTGTGACGGAAAAAAAGGCATGGAAGCTGTTTATTAAAAAAAAAGAAATTACAAATGGTTTGGTCGTCCTACAATCCCAGAAATATGCACAGCATAATAGTTTCTGCAAGATGTTCATCCACATATTTTTGTTTACTTTCATTTTCTTATTCAAAATTGATAACTTCGCCATGAACTTAATGTCGGCTTTGATAGGCAAGAGGATTGAAGAAGCATTTGAAGAGGCTCAATGCTCCAAAGCATTGGATGCTCGACAAACTCGGTGGTGCATTTGTGAGTGAAATTTCTAGTTTCCATTTCAGTTTACCTTTTTATTTTTGGGACAAACTTATTGATGACATTTAGTTCGACCTTTTTGACTCCTTTGTAGGCCCCCAAACCTTCATCTGGACCTCACAAATCAAGGGAATGTCTCCCACTGATTTTGATATTGCGTAACAGATTGAAATATGCTCTCACATACCGTGAGGTAATTTCAATTTTGATGCAACGACATGTTTTAGTTGATGGGAAGGTGAGGACAGACAAGACGTACCCTGCTGGGTTCATGGGTATGCTTATCTCAAACATCGCGTGCATACTATTATTTCAGTTTCAATACTTATTCACCATTGTTCACAAGTCCCACAAATGCACATATCTATCTAGGCAAATTACTATTTGCAAACGAGATACATAACAGTGCCCTGATAATAGAATGTGTTCCAATGACTTGATTGTCTGCTCTTATCTAAATCATTCTCTTAACCATGGTACTGCTTTCATCCAATTATTATTTTTTTATGTACATTTCAAGCATGATGCTTTTGTTTTTTAGATGTTGTGTCGATTCCCAAAACAAATGAGAATTTCCGGCTTCTCTACGACACAAAAGGCCGATTCCGTCTTCACTCAGTCAGGGATGAAGAGGCTAAGGTTAGCTTTTGTTCTTTCATGACGAAGTTTGATATGTTTGTTACGACAATTCCTGTTGTATAGAATGTATACTGTCAGGATTCAGAGGAAATTAGATGCAATTGCAATCAGAGGTCTTACAACTTGTCCAGACAGAAAATATTATATTTTTAAAACCATTGTGCATTTTTTAGATGCTGTTTTTCACCTTGATTATTATCATGTGAGGTTCATGAAGGCAAATTAATTTCCAAATCCTCTGAAGTAATAAGCTTGTCTGTTGTCCATGATATATGGAATGGGATGATTGGTGATGACTGATTGATTTTGCAGTTTAAGCTGTGCAAAGTTCGGTCAGTGCAGTTTGGGCAGAAGGGAATTCCTTATCTGAACACTTACGATGGACGAACAATCCGATATCCCGACCCCCTGATCAAGGCAAACGACACCATCAAGCTAGACCTCGACTCGAACAAGATTGCTGATTTCATCAAGTTTGATGTGGGAAACGTTGTGATGGTGACTGGTGGAAGAAATAGAGGACGAGTTGGAGTAATTAAAAACAGGGAGAAGCACAAGGGAAGCTTTGAGACAATTCACATTCAGGATGCTACCGGGCATGAATTTGCAACTCGGCTGGGCAATGTGTTTACGATTGGGAAGGGGACAAAGCCATGGGTGTCCCTTCCCAAGGGCAAGGGTATAAAACTATCCATCATTGAAGAAGCCAGGAAGAGGCTTGCCAACCAAGCAGCCGTTACGGTTTAAGAGTTGAGTGTTGTAGTCATGATTCTAAGACTATTTTTGTTTAATATTTGGTGTTCTAATATGATTATAAATTAGATGTTGAGACTATTTCTGTTGCTTCTATAATTTTTTTTTTTTTTTTTTTGAATATGGAGATGGAAATATTAGCATCTATTAGGAATCTATAATTAACATTTGACCAAAGCTGTTAAATTTTATAAGATTTAAGTTTTAAGTTTTTTACATATCGGCCATTATTGGTCATAGGTTGTTAGGCCTAGCTTCCTCTTCTTCTTCTTCTATGCTTGTTAGCTCGTCTCCATCAAGGATTACTAGGTATTCTCGGCATGCAGATGATCTATTAGAAAACATTTTCAATATGTTTCCTCTTTTTACGGGTAGATTTGCACTTCTTAAATTAACAATTTCCAAATTGAAAATAAAATAACGAACCTAAATTTTTTTCTTACTAAGTCTCTACTAACGTCTCATACTTAGCTCATATGCGGTATATACTTTTGAACACTTAGATCATATGCGGTATATACTTTTGAACACTTAGATCATATGCGGAATATACTTTTAAAAACGACCGTATGATCTTATGTGTTTCATACCAATCTAAACTAAAAACAAATATGAAATAATAAACTAAAGAAACACAAATCTAAACTAAAAACAAATATGAAATAATAAACTAAAAACAAATATGAAATAATAAACTAAAGAAACACAAATCTAAACTAAAAACAAATATGAAATAATAAACTAAAAACAAATATGAAATAATTAAAACAGAATGGTTGTGTTGTGTGTCCGTTGCTTTTTTGCCTTAATCTCAAATTAATTAATTAATTAATTGATGTTTTGATGATAACATTGGTTTTTTTTTTCCTTAATCTCAAATTAATTAATTAATTAATTAATTGATGTTTTGATGATAACAAACATACCTTCAATTATTAATAATTTTCAGTATTTTGTCCATAGTTTAAGGTTGGGAATAACGATTTCAACGTCTTTTTTGGTTCACTCAAATTAGAGATAAAACGAAGAAGTTCCAGTCAAAACAAATACCCGACGTGATGATGTGGTGGCAAAATTGACATCATGGACCAATTAAATTCAAAACAAGATACCTGACGTGATGATGTGGTGACAAAATTGATAATGTGGTGACAAAATTGACATTATGGACCAGCGGCAAAACTGACATCATAGACTAATCGAAGTATGACATTTATAAATTTTGTAGAGTAACAAATGGGAGAGTTTTCAATTATATTTATAAAAGTTTTTCATTACTTTTAAATTATAAAATCATTTCAATTACATTTATAAAAGTGTTCGACTATTTTTAAAATGGAAAGAAATTATAAAGATTTCATTTAGGTTTTAATGAAAAAAAATATTATAATGATTTCATTTACGAAAACAAGTTATTACAGTTAAATGAAAAGAAATTATAATAATTTCTTTTAATTTTATAATTATTTGAATTACAAAATCATTTCAATTATAAGAATTTCATTTAGGTTTAATAATACTTTTAATTATTTTTAAAATGTTACTCACAATTTTCATTAACATTTTTTTTATAGTATTACATTTAAATATGTTATATATATATATATATATAATATATTTTTTTTAGTATTACATTTAAATATGTTATATATAATAAAAATGAATTTAAAATATTTTTAATATTTATTTAAAATAATATATATATTTAAATGAAACATGTGGTTTATAATTTTTTACTATAAATTTAAAAATAAATAAATATTATTTGGTTTTACTATTTTTCACCATAAATATATATATATATATATTAAATGAAACATGTGGTCTATAATTTTTTACTATAAATTTAAAAATAAATAAATATTATTTTTGGTAGTCCACGTTCTAGTGGTCAGTATCAATTCTTCAACACGCTATTTAAACTCTTCACCTTTTAGTATTTTTCACAACACAACATACAGAACATTTGTTTACTCGATCTAATTTTTTTTAAAAAAAACCTCCACTGTTGCTCCCTCCAAAGCTTCCAATTCTATTTTTTTTTATCTTATTCATGAGAGAGATGTTTATTAGAGTGTTGTGGCGTGTTTCTATAAGATTTCAGATAATTGTACTGGTTTGATCCTGAGCCGTGGAAAGGATTGAGTTTGCTCTTGAACTCGTAAAAAGAGCAGTGTACCGGTTTGATTCTGAGCCGTGGAAAGGATGGAATTTACTCTTGAACTCATAAAAAGAGCGGTGTACCGGTTTGATCCTGAGTCGTGGAAAGGATGGAGTTTGCTCTTGAACTCGTAAAAAGAGCGGTGTACCGGTTTGATCCTGAGCCGTGGAAATGATTGAGTTTGCTCTTGAACTCGTAAAAAGAGCGGTGTACCGGTTTGATCCTGAGCCGTGGAAAGGATTGAGTTTGCTCTTTAACTCGTAAAAAGAGCGGTGTACCGGTTTGATCCTGAGTCGTGGAAAGGATTGAGTTTGCTCTTGCACTCATAAAAAGAGCGGTGTAGCGGTTTGATCCTGATCCGTGGAAAGGATTGAGTTTGCTCTTGCACTCGTAAAAAGAGCGGTGTAGTGGTTGGGCTCTGATCCGAAGAAAGAGTCAGAAAGTTTTATTCAAATTCCCAAGAGGTGCTTAGGAAGTGGAGTAGGTCGAGTTTGCTTGGCAAGTGGAGTAAATTATTGTTAAGTTTATATTTTCAAACCCTTTTCCTATTTAAGTTCTAAATTATTGTTAAGTTTTAAGGCATGGTATCAAGTTTGATTGTTATTAAAAAACAAAATTAATAATTATATTGTTGAAACCCTATTCACTTTCTCTAGAGTTGTCATATCGATTCAACAATGTGTTTCATACAAAATAATGAAATTTAAACTAAAAACAAATATGAAATAATTAAAACATATGAAATGCAAGACAACTTATTCTATACTAAACATCTATCCTATGTACGTGTCATGGTCTTTGCTTATGATGCCACAATCTGAGTATTTCAGAGAATACTCAGTAAGTGACCCACCATAGGGGTCATGCTAAAATGTAAACATATGCAATTATGCTCTAGGGACCTATCTGTATTTCTTACTAAGGGTGGGCTCTAGTCCAGACTAACTATGGATGTGCAATACTTCCCTATACACGACCTACACGTGCGAGTGTGAATCTCCAAGCGGTTTGCACCCTCCTGGATCCATCATCGTCGAGCCAACTATCCGTAGCGACGTCTGGAGGTCAGCAGATCCCTGTGTGTCATGATCAACATGATCATCGTCATCATCATAACGTACGTGTCTACACCCATCATCATAAAGGGTAGTATCATGATGCTTATGTACACACAACATGCATGAGGTCCCTTTATTTCTCATCTTAAAACATCCTCATGACACAACCATAGTCTCATCTCTATATTACATTTAGTAATACATGCTCATTATTCATCATCATATTAAGGTAAACGTCATGCATCATAAATATCATAATCATCGTAATTTCATCAAATGCATCAAGCACATCAAGTACATCATACATCGTCATATAACTCACGTACGTCATCACACGTCATTATACATCATAGTTCATGCATCATCACATAATTCACGTACGACATCATACGTCACAACTCATACACCATACATCATATAATTCATATACGTCATCATACGTCATAGCTCATCCAATATTTCTTGTTTATTCTATAGTAAGACCATCTACTTGATTTGCCTTAGCTGGTATTCTCCTTAATCTATAAGGTTAGCTCTCGTTCCTCGAAAGCTGTTCCAAATGTCGCTGGAGTTTGTTTCCTATTACACCATCCGTCACATTCGTTATTGTTTTACAATTAATTAATAATCCAAATGATTACTATGAAATACGGCACTAAAATGGCCTCAATTACCTTAATTGAGGCCAAAAACAGGTTCGGGAGGTTGGAACCGTGGAAAATGGATTAAATTTGGGATTCTGAGCTGAATAAGCCGAGGGAGCTGCGGGTCGACACGTGTAGGCTAGGAGTGGGCCACGTTGTGTGTAGGCATTTCGGGTCGAGTCACGGGTCGGTTCAGCTCGCGGGTCGCGTCGGGTTATTGGGCTGCCGAAGGTGTAGGTTGCAGGCCGGCTGCAATCACGAATTGGGTCTTGAGGCAATTTGGGCCTCAGATTTTTCGTGGGCTGCAGAGGAAAGTTGCAGGCGTCGGCCGCTGCAGATGGATTGGGCCTTGGGCTCGGGTTGCTGCAGGCGTGGGCTGTAGTTTGGGTTTCAGTGCTGCAGGTGGGTCGGTATGTTCGGGTGGGTCTCGGTTGCAGGCGCGAGCTGTGGGTTGAGTCCAGTCTGGATCCGACGGATTCGTCTTCTTCGCCTGGTTCAGCGCATTTTTCCGATTCTGTTTTCTCTTTCCTTCCCACGACTATTTTCGACGTTCTTCCTCGCTGTTCTCCTCCTCAATCCCTCTGTTAGACCTTCTACTCCTGTTCCACAAAGTTTCGTGGCTTGTAAGTGCCTAAGATGATATATCTACAAGGTTCTCAAAGGCTCGGACTTTCGATCACTTTTTTCGACGACGATTCGTTTAGGAGGGTCACAAAACGCATCGAAGATGGCTATAGGGTCGTCGAGGATCTCTTTAGGGGTGTAACGCGGGTGTTTTTTTTTTTTTTCAATTCTAACCGTACGTTACAAAAATTCAAAGGAACTTTACTCGAATTTTCAAAATGAAAAGTTTCCTTTAAAGTATTTGCAACAAGTAATGATTCCTACCTGTATTATTTTCTACAATCCACATGTCGTTATGTACTTGGATGACACATGCTTTTCTGAGCTAGGATGTAACAAACACAAACTTACGCGCCAGAGGAGGGCTCACAATTGCTCAACCATCACGCTTGAATACCACGAGCTAAGGGAGGGATACTTATACTAACGGCTTGACATGTTGTGCCCGCAGATTGGCTGCTTTGCGTCCTGCGTCCCACTTGATTTTCACGTGATTTTCTTTATACATGTTGTCTCTGCCCGATGTGAAATCCTCACGTGATTTTCTTTATCTTTCCTTTGTACGTCGGGAGCTGCCTCTGCCCGATGCGCATCCTAATTGAGGGACTCAAATCCCAT